CACTGTGCAGCGTCGATGCTGTTCGATAAGCTCACGAACGCTTGCAGTATTTCTATTAAGTGCACTGTTGCAAGAACAACGGGGATGGTCTTGATTCACAACACATTAACGGCATTCCTTGAATTTGTTGCACCAAACCTTCACTCTTGACCATGAAAGGGTAGCTTCCTGGAACTGGGCCTGCAATCTGTGGTAAATTTTGGCTGGTTTCACATTTTAACAGTCTAGAAACTTTATGTGTTGTTCAATAGAGAAAGGCACCCACCTCTTGCTCATCATAAGAGCTACTAAATGAAGCTTAAGACAAGCAGCCAGTATGGCTCCCTTACTCTAGGCAACATCACCTAATGACTTCAACTACCTAAGCACATTCAAATACCCATCCCAACACTCAACCAATAAAAGCTCTTTTATATTTGATCGCCCTAAGTATTTGCTGATTATTTAACTAAATAAAGGACAATCTGTTCTTTGAAACTTCTGGCAGTATGGTCGGCACAAGCTATGTGGGATCTTTATCAAATTTAAAATCAGTTAAGATGTTTTCTGTGTTTAAGGCCTACAAAAATGTGTTGCCTTATGTCTGGAATGCATTTTCCTTCTCCAAAATCTTACCTAATTTTAAATCTAGACTTTTGATAACAAATAAAGTGATTGTTTTTATAATTTTTTATTCCATTGATTTGGCTTTTCTATCGTAAATTTCACTTTTTATGTGTTCAACTGTCCATAATTATCATGTATCTGGCATTCCATATTTGAGCTTTCAGGGTAGTCCTTTTACTGTATGTAATTTTCTGAATTTGTATACCATATATAACTTCACCATCTACCGAGAACTTTATAAATGAAATAATAAAACTGGTTCTTTTTCATAAGCAAACCTCAGGAAACTAATCTTCACAGGTTAGTGATAATAAAATTTTTGTGATCATGTTTCATATTTCAAAATTATTTTTTGAATAATGCTACTTTACCTTAATACATTGTCTTTTCTGATGAGCTTTTTTAATGTTAAACTTCAGATTGTGTGGTTTATTATGATGTAATTTTTTATGCTTTATTTTAAATATGCGCTTTAATTGTACCTTCAGTCTTTTATCTGTACTTTTTTTGTGTGGAGAGAAATAGTTTTTTGTTATCTTCTAATTTGTTGGCAAGCAGGAGTGGTTTAAATTGTAAAATGTTGAACAAAGAAAATTATTTATTACATAGTACGTTAAGTAATTATGCATTTAGATATATTTATTTAATTTGTCTTAATTTTGTATTTTTTTAACTAATATTTATTAAAAAAGTGAAAAGTTTATATCATTTTCTGTTATACAGCTAAAGTTCTTCCAAACACAATAAACTGTCAGTGATAGTATTGATAAAATCATATAACACTATGGCCTCTCAGCTTTTTTGGTATCGTGACTTTTATATTTCGTGGAATAGAACAGAAAACTTTGACATAATGTAATGATTCTTAAATTAGTTGAATTCTTCTTAAGTGCTGATTCTGAGAGAAAAAAAAATGTTTTTAAAAAATAAAAGAGCAGTTTTATGTCTTCGTAGCATGTATTTATATATTAAAGAAAAGAAAATTGAACATTTCTCTGATAAAAGGGAGCTTGTTAAATTATAGACTCTGGCTTTCCTATGCCGTTATCTCTTGATAAATTATCACTTGTAACAGCTAATTTAACATAATATAAAAGTGAAGATTTAAAATTGATATAACAAAACAAAATTGGAAAAAAAAATCAAAAAAATAAGTAAATAAATAAAATAGGATTCAACTGAAGCTTATAAATTAAAAATAATTCAAGGCCAGCTCTACTAATTTGTAAAATCATTACCAACTTACAGTAATGCCAACAGAGTAATTTCACTAAATGTGCTAATCTATTGAAAATTAACTCAAAACCTGGAGGAATTTTTTCCCCCTAGCTGTCACTTAAAATTCCTAACTAAAGTAAAACCATTTATCTTACTAATTTCTGACTAATTCAAATAGATTTATTATCTAACTCCATTCATGTTGATGGGCCAATTGGAGTGCTGATTAAATGTCCTTCAGGCATTCATTCAATCAGAACAGCTTTCTATCTTCTTAACTTCTCTTTTATTTACTTCATCAGTTTCATATTTCTGTAGTGAGAAGGTGAAGCAAAATATGGGGGGAAATGCAGGGGTAAACTATAGCTCAGCTGTTAGTAAAAATTCTAAAAATTTTGCAGATTATATTTCTTCTGCTATTTAACTTCTAAGTTAACTTCCAGCTTATGGATGTAAAATTCTGTACAAGAAGGATGGCTTTCCAGTTCATTACGCACACAAATTTTTGCCAGCTTCTAATGTTTCTAATTTTGAATTGGAAATATTTTGAATGAAAAGAATCAAAGTACAAAATGAGAGGGTCATTTTGGAATTATAATCAAGAAAATGGCAGTTATTTATGTCATTTTAGGGAACTATAAAATTTCAGTGCCAAGCCTGTAACGCTCGGAAGGTTAAAAAAAGTCAAAAGCATAATCAACACTATTCATTATTACTTTTCTGTTTGAGGGTGGTTTTCTTTCTTCCCCCCCCTCCCATTTGCATTCTTATAATTTTATGATTGTCATAATTTTAAGAAATCATTTTCATCAATATTTTCACTATTGCATTGTGTAAATATTTAATAATGATTCTTTACTTAACCAGGAACATTTTTATTGTATTTTTAAGTGTATGATTACTTGATTTTTTTTTTTTTTTTTCTCCTAGTGTTTGAAATTTAAAAGATGTTTCAAATTGGGTCATCTGAAAAGTTCTACTGTTTTTTTATGATAAATCCGAAGGAACTGTAGAAAAACATAAGAAAATTTATTGTATCATATAAGCACCATTTTATTCTATGACGTTTTGCCATCTCTTTGGCAGTTGAAAAATTTCTTTTTAAAAAATGTCATTAGATTTATTCTTGAAGAAGTTATCGTGCTATCTGACTCTCTCCAGGAAAGTAAACTGCAGCCCATTCAAAGAGTTAAAATAACCTAAATCCAATGTGCAAGCTTTGATATATATGGATATATGGCAGAGTAACACAGAATATCCCGTCCACTCGTAATTAAGTTTTTGTTTTGGCATTAATTGTAAAGTGAGATGGAGCATTCTCATAATGGATGGTAACACTTGGAAGATTGGGTAGCCCTGAATACTTTGCTTAAATTTCTGTTTTTAAAATTTGTTGTCTGTTATGATGGCAATAATTCATGATGTACTTTTCCTTTGAAATCCCACCATATCCAGTTTTACTTTTTGGGGGGTGCAGTCCTCTCTTGATGTTACTAAAGAAGGTTGTTTTTATTTACACCATGATCTTTTTCTATCAAGTATTGTATAATATCCATTTCTCATCTCCAATAATGAGCCACTTCAAAAAAAAAAAAAAAACTTCTTTATTCTTTTACCAAAGAATCACATTATTTTCAGAGGATGGTAATCCAGAGGGGGAATAATCTTCAAGGCTGAAACCTCCATGCTCAAACCAACTTTGAACTGTGTCATCAGAAACAGCAATTTGTTTATGTACAGAAAAATTTCATGAGCAGGCTGATTAGCATTTTCTTTTTAAAAGAAAAGAACAGATTATGGTAAAAATTAACTTTTGGGTTCTCAATTTTTAGCACTGTACTGAAATAAAAATAATCGCACAACGCTTGCTTTATGCAACTTGAACACAAAAGCCTGTGTTTTAACATCTGCTTCATTCATTGTCACTCCTTATTAGCAGCAATAAAATAATTAGAAGAAAATTCTTCAATTTGAAAAAAAAAACCACTGAACTTTCCGGATGACCCAATAATTATAAGCAGTAGGCAGGTAATTTCCCGTTACATTTTCCATTATGTGTGTCTTTATTATTTAATAAATTTGGATACAGTAATATTAGTCATCCAATTTAAACAGAATTTAATAGTCATGTATCTTCCAAGGATGGGTTATAATTATTCCTTCTTCGGATTTTTCAAAAGATGGAATAAAAATACTACAAACTTAACATGATAAAAAAAAGAGAGATCAAACTCATACAAAAATATATGTTTTTATATTTACTGTAGCAAAATTTAAAATTTCATAATATAAAAAAAATGTAATTGTGGTAGACATTAAAAAAGTAGGAATATGCATAAGAAGCACAATCAGTCATATCAGTTATTCAAAATGAAATTGCACATTTATCATTGTTAAACAGAATTTACTCAGAATTGGTTAATGGCTTCATATGGCTGCCTGAATTAGTCAAATATGTGTATTTAAAAAATGAGGTCCTTGGTTAGATCCCTAGCCAAATGCCAGATATTCATATAAGGGCTCTTTTTAATGTTCAACTATTAATGCTTCAAAAAAGAAAATAAATATGGTCTGTTCCCAACAACCTATTGAATCACCAATGCCTGTACACTCAAGTTTCTATTCATTCTGCCTTTTAATCGCCACTTTTACACTCAAGTTTCTATTCATTTTGCCTTTTAATCGCCACTTTTTCACTGTTTCTATTCATTCTCAGGAACTAATGTATTCTGAAACATGACACTTAAATGTAATGTGTGGGGGGTGGAGGAGATTAACTGATTATATTAAAACATAAGCTGTTGAACTATCAAAATTAAGGACAATGATGTAAATATAATGTAATTAGCTGATACATATAAATTCTTAGAGGGGCTGCTTTGTTACCAACATTAGGGTTACTGTTATCTGCGTTGCACTAGAAAGCAATATGGAGAGTATATTTCAATTAAACACATTTTACAGTAATAGAAACGATAACAATGATTATTTTTAATATGAATCAGGTTTTCATGATATGGTGGATAAAATAAAATGCTAGATTATCAGGACTTTTTTATACTTTTTTATGTAATTATATGTAATGCATCTTGTTTTAAGTAATGAATATCACTGACTTAAAACTTATAATTTTGATATGAATTTGAATATATGTCTAAGAAATTGTATAATTGTAGATGATTCAGTATCCATTCCAAGTTTTTGTGAAGATGTTGACAATGCTGTTGCTGCTCTTGCAATAGCACAACGAATTCCATCCTGGTCAGTTTCTTCTAATGCATCTCATGGTAGTGAAAAAAGTCAACATCGAAGTAGAAGTGAAACTTTAACAATGTCAGCAGGTAGCTAGAATTTTAATGGTCATAAACAAACGTTTTTCTTAGTGCAAGAATTAATAATTTTCGCTCTTTCATCAAATTTTTCTTGTCGATCAAAATAAACTTCTTGTTCTTAGTGGAATGCAGTATAATTAAAATTATTTTAATTTCATTCTTATGTACTGGTTTAGTATATTGTACTGCAGTAAAACCATTTGCTTTATATTTTTTCAGTTTAAATGTTTAAAATTTAATCTGTTTGTGGCATATTTTAAAAGTTTTATTTTTGCTCATGAAATATAAAAGTTATGCATAATTTATAGTTTTCGAATATTGTCCAATTTTTGCATATACTGTCTTGTTCTGTACACAGTGAATGAAAGTGATATTTGAGATCTTTATTATTGACTTCTTTGCTGTCTCATCAGTAGCACCAGGTACAAGTGGAACTATTCTGAAATCTCAGGAGAAGTATTGCAAAAGAATGATTGCTTCGGGGTGAATGGCTCAGAAGTTCTTGCAGAGTAGTAGTTAACCTTTTGTTGCCATAAATAATTTATATTGTATAGTATAATTGTTCTTTAAACACATCTTTTGAAAGTCTGCTCATTTCTGTGCTTCAGATATTTTAATGATTTGAGTGAAAGAGGCTTAAAATTGTCAGTAGTTTCTGCAGTTAATGGTATGGACAGCTGAAGTGGGCCTTAGCATCTCAACCCATTTTTCTTAATTGCTGCCATTTAAAACTGATCCGTGAATAAAGATCCAGGTGGTTTTTATTCTGTCCCTGAATAATAATTCATTTACCGGATGGTAAATTTTGTAAGATTTGCGAAAGTATAGTTTAGTAGTTGCAAGCTGTGCAATTCACTTTTTGAACTTAATTTTTTCAGCTTCTTATAGCTCAGAAATTTCTCTGTTTCTTTTGTTTAACAGTTTGGAATCTTTCCTTTATTTGTGTGTATAACTTACAGTACCATGTAATATGCATGTACAACCCAATGTCTCATTTCATCAGTGATACAGGGTTCGTAGTGGTCCTTATAAGTGCTTATAAGTCCTTATATTTGAAAATAAAATATAAAGGCCCTTATAGGTGCTTACTTTTTCTTTAAAGCCCTTATTTTTTTGTTTTTAGTGCTTATTTTTTGCTTTCAGTGCTTTTTTTTTTTAAATGAAAGCGCAATTTTTCCCCGTACCAAAGCCGAAACTAAATAAACAACTTTTCTTCCTAATATGGAATGTCAGGTGGTGAATCCCCCTTTTTCTGCATTAACATAACCTTTGGTCTGCACGGAGAGTACAGACAGGTGCCCGTCGTTCTGTTGGTCAAAGAATTGCGAAGCAGTTGAAAATTCCGGTATATTCGGCATTCTTTTCCTCCCACCCAAATACTACACACGTTTGAATTTCTATCAAGATCTTAATAATTTGCATTCTAGTTCCGCTTGGTCAGTTCATATTCGTGTTTATTATGATCGTTATGCTTATATTATGAGCATGTGTATGGATGTTTATAATAACATAGTTGCAGTAACTGCTAAAGTATAGTAAACTTCCAAAAATGGTTGTGTTTTAACACAGATTAGCTTTCTAAGGAATAATATTCGGAATGGCTTAAATAAAGGGAAAGTAATTTAAAAGTCAAAATAATTTCATTTCTTTGGCCAATACATTATACAGTATGAATGTTGGGAGGTTCTCCCCTTTTTCCGCAAAATCTCGAATATTGAAACTTTTATAGTTCGCTGCAAAACAAGCAACGGACTTTTTATTATTATTATTATTATTATTATTACTTTCCGATCTAGATTGAATAGGACTAAAAGTTCTGCGGTCTACCAACCCAAGCGAAGAATGATTCTATTCCGGAAATTTAGCGCAGTTTGTTGAAAATCAGAATGAAAAACACCCCAGATTGTTAAGTCTCTTTCTTTTCCTTTCTTTATTCTTTATTCTCCCAATATCGGCGGCTGTTGAATCCGATTGCATAATATCATGTAGGGAAGAATTACTGTGCACGTATTGCGCAATAACGTTTGCGATATTTTGCAGAGATAATTAATTTTGATGTTCGGTCCCCAGATTTGCTTTATGCACACTTAAAAGAGTTTTCCTGTGCATTGGCAGAACAGAATATTTTTCTGTTATATCGAAATGTCAAAAGCATTTATTTAGCAGAAAAATCTAAAGAACGGCTACAGTCTATCCAACTCCGCTTCTCTTTTTCAAGTTACGCTCCGCTGTCCGAATATTCGCCAATTTTCAAGTATGCGGGTATGTAAGCTTTTACTGTTAAATGATGACTGCATGAAGCAAATTTCTGTCTTCTGATTTCAGAAATGTTCCTCTTTTTTATTTAAATTACTTTGCTTGCAATATCTGTTAAGGGAAAACTGATATACGATGAAAATTTAGAAAATGTTCAGAATTTAGATTTAAATTAGTTAAATATCAATAAGAGTAGAAAAATAAATTGTATTTATTATTAAGTTCCAAGCGAATAGAATAAATATGCCTTATTATTATTTATTTCCTCTATTTTGAACTGAAATTTCATCATTAAATCTTGTAATATAGTTTAGTTCTGCATAGTTTTTTTTTTTTTTCCTCTCATTGTAAACTAGTTCTGTAAATTGGACTGTTATTTCAAATTTAAAAAAAAATTATTATTTTCCATGGTTGAGGTAATGCTTATTCTCTCTTAATAAATACTGCATTTCTCATATTTTAAATTACGAGTCTAATTTTTAAGGTTATGCAGTTGTGTATAATGCAATTAAACGGGTGCTTATTTTTTTTCTTAAAATGTGCTTGAAAAGTGCTTATAGGTGCTTATTTTTTTAACTAAAATGTGGCTATGAACCCTGGTGATACTAGCAGTGAAATTATTTTTCTCTGTAATACTTACTATATCTATAATAGTAACATTTGATTTAATATTTACAACTTTGCTATAATGCTGCATTACTATTTTTGTCTAAAGCATTCAAGGATCTCACTTCTGAGGCAAGTCATTGTGGTTTAGGTTTTTATATCCAAGTTTTGTAGCAAAATTTATATTGACCATATCTTGAATTGTAATTAAGTTATGTGTGTGCTGTAAATTGTGATACATGTGAAGATTCAAATAGTACATTATTCCGCAATGATCAGTCATATATGTTATTATTATTATTTAGTATTGCATGATTGCACAAGTCTTTGCCCCTTTTAAAAATAAAACAAAAGTAACCACGTGTGAAGAAAATAACTTTTCTTAATTTATAATATAATCACCAGAATTTTCTAAAATAATCTGCCAGTGTTTGATAATTTTGTGGATTCCTAGCTTCATAGAAATCTCTGGTTTTGTTACAAAAAAGATTGTAAGGAAGATTTTTGACAATTACCATAGAACCATGCATCTTGCTATTCAAACTACTCTGCATACAGTGAAACAGATACAAATCTGAAGCAACAAGGTCTGTAGAATATGAAAGATGTTTGAGAATTTCCCATTTTAACATCTTCATTTTTCTTAATTTTGCTTGGGTTATGTGCAGTTTGATATACCAGGATAAATGATACCTTTATAGATCAATAAAAACCTGATAGGTGATTTTTCTCCATTTTCCTTACTGAACTTGACATAGTACGTATTTGCAAGGATTTGTTTCACAGGTAAGGAGAATCTTGAAAAAAAGGGTATTTCCTGCAGTATCACCAAACAGACAGCAGCACTTTCACTGGATATAAAGCAATTCTTGCCATGCATTCTAGCTCCTTTCCCATCGTTTATTATTATCCAAGATCCACATTTCATTACCTGCTATAATTTGAGCCATAAATGTTCTTTTTCATAATGAACTGAATGCAAACAAATGACTGAGAATATGTAGTCCGGCTTATCCGTTTATGCCAAAAAGTTTGCACCAAAGCTCAGAAATTAACCTTCCTGGTTCCTTTAAATAGCAAAATACTGACAAACTTCCAATTTTCATCCTCTTAGTTATATCTTTAGTTGTAAATCTTTGAATATTTTGTGCTACATTAATGCGCACTGTCACAAGCTAACCTGAGAGTGTTTTATCTTTTAAGATAAATTACTATTTGAAAATCTGCCAACTACTTTTTAATTATTCTGAGAGCTGAAGTATGATCCAGATACTGCCCTGTTTTTCTTGCCAGTCATTCTTTTCTGAAACTGATATAACATAAAATCACAAAAAAATAACTTCATAACTTGACAAAAATCCTTTCAAGCACAAATTGACAAAGTTCAGTGCCTATTAAAAAAGGTCCTTATCTTGCTACCATCTGGCTGTAAAATGAAGACCAATGTGCCTTGTGCATATATTTGTACCAGCTCTGAAAATCAGGTATGAACTTTTGCAACCATCCATTATATTGCATTTAGTTATTTTATTTATTTTTTATCATAGATGAACTGAGAGAGGCTTTGTTGTGTGTAATGCAAAAAAAGGAAGAATTTGAAGAAAAAAATAGGTAATTATTCGTAATACATTTTTCTTATCCTTCTGACCAAATCAGTTTTCATATTTTCTTAGAAACAATGCATTTTATCTTCTGCATTTAGACAGAGGTTTAAAAAAATATCTTCTTTATATACAGTAGTTCATGAGCTAATGGAAAAGGGTAATTAAAAAATAAAGAAAGGGCAAAGGTGTGTGAAAACTGAATTTCATTATCTTTTGCAAGCTCATAGCGTACAACATATTTATATGGATTGTTTGCTTTATGATATTTTTATTTTATACCAGTTTACAAGGAATAAAATAATAAAGTTATTAAAATTTGGGGGAAATCTTTTTTACCAAAAAATATTAGGTTCACTGAAAAAATATAAGTTTTTCTTAAATTCCATTAGAATTTATTAAAACTCATGACTTTGAGTTGTTTCACAACTAAAGCTACAATTTGAATAAAGAATTTAGAAAATCTTCCATTTAATAGGGAATTTGGATTTCCTGCAATTTGCTATAAGAAAAAAATGCATTCCAGCCTATGAAAAATTATTTATGGTTACCATTACACTTATGTAAGCAGAAAGTTTAAATCAATTTTTTTTAAATGCTCATTTTTTTCGTATTCTTTATGTTATTGACTATCTGGCATTCAACTAACTGGAAAGCTCAAGTAATCAGAATATTTTAGAATATTGGAAACTCCTCCCCCCCCCAAAAAAAAAAGTTAATCAAATGAAAGATTTGCAAAGCTATTATGACGTATGTTTACGAACACTATCACCAAATACTGAGATTTTGCACTAGCATTGGATAAGTATACAATCCTGAGATCTCCAGCTTTATTTCATATAAACCCAATTAATTCTCAATAAGCCACTTTTGATTTGTGAAAAAGGAACTTAAATTAACGGTTATTTATTCATTTTCCTTTGCGCTTCGAAAACATGGTTGAAATTTTTTACCTTCCTTCTACAGAAAAGTATGCAGTGAAGTATTTTAAAAGTTACAATGTCTTGATGTCAAGAAAAGTGTGCACTAATGGGCACAATATAGCTTTGTTTGAAAATGGATAAACAATAGTAATGAAACAAGAATATTTTTAAGCGTTCGTATGCTATATCTGTAACTTGTATCTGTTGACTATCTAAGTAAAAATCTGTTCCTTTAAACTTTTCACAAACCGATTGATACAAGTTTGAGAGCATCTCCACCAACTTTTACAGTCGACAGGATTTTGTTATTAGATAAGATATTGTACTTTTATAAATTTAAAGCCTGTGGCATACATTTATGTCTGAAATTCTTCCCCCCCCCAATCTTGCTTAATTTTTAATGTAAGCTTTTGGTATTCAAATTGATAATAAATAAGATGAATCTCATTGTATAGTTTTATACAGAAAATTGTTTCCATTTATGTAGCTTTTCTACATGTGAATTACATTTTATTATGCTCAACTATATAGAATTTTCACATATTCAACATTCAGTATTTTGTTAACTTTATAATCAAGCTTTTTCTGTATTTCTGATCTCTTATTGTTAGTATGTTTAGCGCCATGCATAAACTGTTATAGAAAAAATTAAATCTGTATTAAATTTATCTGGGCATGTATCTTTTGCAGTGCTTTACGTTGTTTGCTGGAAAGAGAGATGGAAATGGCTGCAGGCTTAAGAGCAGAATTAGAAGATCAAAAGCGGAATTCCGAAGAAAAAATTGAGCGTTTAGAATTAAAAATTCAAACTGTTACCCGGTAAATATTATCCCTCTATAACTTAAATATAAAGAGAAATTGTTTAGTTTGAAATGTCTGAAAGATTCGTTTATATATTTGCATATTTCTAGGGAGAATGAATTGTTGAAACATCAGCTGAAAAAATATATCGCTGCTGTTCAGATGTTGAAACATGATAGTGGGAAAGTACATGAATGTAAGTTTGTTGGTTGCATTATTAGCAAAGGTGAAATGAAATCTGTATTATAAGGCATTATGATATGTATAAAGTTTGAAAATGTGTTACTTTCTCAGTTATTTATTATCCAATGATAATTTGAATCAAATTTTATTTGAGAGAATTATGAAAATAACTTAGTTCCTACCTTGCTAAGTAAATAAAAATCAAAATTTGGACCTAGATTACTTACATGCTAATAATTTACATGTAGAATAGAAGAACCTTAGCAGGATTACTATTAATTGAGAATTGAGCAGTTAAAAAAAAGTTTAAATGGCCTTTATTTTAGTAGAATGTGTCTGTGTTGTGTCTTATTTCACTTGTCTCACAAGCCCATGAAATTCATTGTGGCAAAGAGTGCAAGATTGCAACTCTCATTGGCAATAGCCTTGACAGTACGACTTTGCTCTATTTTGCCCCCAATTTTGATGGAGAGCAAACGGAGGGACAGGTCTGGGGAGTCCCCACCTCTTTTCCCCTTCCACTAACCTCTTGGGAGGACTTTCAGCTCGCCACTTATTTAGAGCGTTCCAATACTGCACATTTACAAACATCCATGTCTTCTCTGAGATTCGAACCCAGTCCCTTCATTTTGGCAGTCAGATTCACTAACAACTATCCTGGTTGGGTGGCAGAATACAGTTGTTACATATTGAATACGTTGCACTATTAACATCTCATGTAATGAACTCAGATTATATATGTGGGTGTCTTTCTACTTTACTTTAAGAATGACACCAATGTTAAGATTTAGTATTTTAATAAAAAAAAAAAAAAAAGAAAAAGAAAAAAAGAAACATAGAAAGATGAAAAGAAGTAAAATAAGATTTAGCTCCATAGCATAGGGTGGCATCACAATAGTGGTAATCCTCACACCAAATGGGTTTGAAAGTCTCTTAACTACCACGTAATAGTTTTTAGGATCCGTTCGCTACGTTGCCGTCACAGCATCTCACACACAGAAGTGGAGAAGTCAATTCACACAGCTTCGAGAATCGTCTAGCTGCTGATGCGGTTGCCAGGTGCAGGAAGGAGGAAGGTTGAGTTGTAGGAGCGCATTACCACATGGCCATTCTGCCTTGCCAGGCGTCCTCGCCTGGGGGTTGATCTGAAAAGAAAGAAAGAAAAAATAAAGCAGAGAAAGTGAAAAAAAAAATCAATGTCCAGATGGCGAATGTTAGGTTTGTGCACCACCAGTTCATCTTATCATCACAGGTTGACATCATAATGGTGTAATCATGGCATATCTTTTGTACTTCATAACAATCAGAGGGATGAACTGTCTCATAAGGACCGAATAATTTGGGATGAAGTTTAAGTCCAAGTTTCAGTTCAAGTCGAAGATTCAGTCCAAGTGGAAGTTTCAGTTTAGGCTGGATTGTCATTTGGTGTCCAAGTTTATATTTGCAGGGAGGTTTGCGACGTTTCGTATACTGTCGTATATGTGCTTGCTGTAAACGGAGGGGTTCCGTTGAGCTTCAATGCATAATGCAGCTTTTTCACCATCATGCTGTGTCAGCAATTTCATTGTCTTTGAAGTTTGTTTAAATTTTCTTCGTTTATACTTCCAGGCTTTCTTCTTGCATTCTTTTGGGCGTGAAGCAGATAAAGTGTATGAAACAGTAATTTTTTCTTCCAAATATTTCAGCATTCTTTTTTGCCTCAGAAGCTTCAACTGGAATGTCAGAGACAAATTGTTTCCTTAGATTAGTTTTCTGTTCATTGGGAATTTCTGCACTTTTAGCAGGTGTTTTCTCGTTTGCTTGATCAGCACATCCTTGTTCAAATTGATTCCGTTTATTTTTCACAGTTTCTTCAGTATTCTGAATGTTTGGATCATTATCGACATCATCATCATTAGTCTCATGACTATCATCAGCATCATCGTCGTTGTCATCAACATCAACTTCATTGACATGATCTTCATCAACAACAGCACCGTCATCTTTATCAACATCATTATCACCATTAGCGTTTTGATTGTCGTCATCATCAATATCATGATCTTGATCCATGTCGTCGTCTGCGTCATCACCATCTTCATCAACATCATCGTCATGAGCTCCATGATTGGTATCAGCATCATCTTTGTCATCGTGATCAACCAAATCCAAATTGTCATCATCTAAATCCAATTCTGAATCGTCATGTGCAGCATCATCATTTTTCTTAATTGTTTTCTTCAACTGAATTTCATTTTCTGTTATTTTCTGAAAATCTTCCATAGCAGTGTTAACTTCGTGTGGGTTGTGAGGAGTAATGATATGTTGAACTTCTTCGAGAATTTCCGATTTTGAGATGTGTGAAAGATCAGGTGGAAATGTGTAATCATGAGTAACATTAGCAACGTTAACAAAAATTTGATCATTATTATTGTTGCATAAATGAATACAAATGTAAATCGAGTTTGTTGCAAAAAGTCTATTCCAATAATGGCATCAAGAGGAATCATATAGTTTTTTACTACATGGATTTTAGCAGGTAAAATAGTGTTTTCAATTTGAATGTAGTCCAAGAATCCAATACTTTGAACTGTGTCTCGGCCAAGTCCTGAAAACATAGTTCTGGAGGGATGCAATGGTGGAGAACCAATTTTGCGGTATGTTTTCTCCGTAATAAGTGTTGCTTGTGAACCAGTGTCATAGAGAGCAGTTAACTGAGTTCCTTTAAGTTGAATATCAACATGCATAGGATGTTTAGAAAAATTTTTAGAAGAAAGTGCATTTACAGTACTATCAGATGTAGAATAATTAGGAGCAGATTCCGTGGTCGAACTACTAGAACGTTTGGGACAGTTGGAATGAACGTGACCATAATTTTGGCAGCCATAACAGAATTTGCCATTAGATTTATTAGGACAAGTATTGCTTTTGTGACTTTTTAAACCACAAGAATAACAAACTGGTTGAGTGTCTGATGTACGTTTAGCATCAATTTTAACATTGGGAAAGGAATTTGGAAATTTCTTTGGAGTATTTTGCTTCAAATTTTTTGAATCGTTAAAGAGTTTTTCATAAATTTTCAGTTTTTCTTTAAATTCAGGAATGGATTTACAACCATATAAAATTATTTTGTTGTTGGATGAATCAGGAATACCGTGAATAACATACTCAATCAAAGAAGAATCATCCAGAGAACCTTTGTGTGCGAGGTCTCTCATAGCTAAAAAATATTCTTGTAAGGTTTCAAATGGTTTCATGTGACGAGATTCCATTATTTTATGTAATTGAAGGCTATTAATTTTTTCCGAAAATTCATCTAATAAATGGTGTTTTAATTGCTCCCATTTAGTAATTCCACGAATTGGTCGTATTAATGTTAAAGCTGGACCTGTAAGACATTTTTTAACAAAAATTACTTGGTGTACAGGATTCGTGATTTCATAGAGATTAAAAATATCTTCTATGTCAGAAATAAACGTTTTGACGCTATAATTATCCCGAGAGGAAAAGGATTTGATCAAATCAACAATGTCCTTTAAGCCAGAACATTGAAACGGAACAGTTTGTGTTTGTGAAAGCAATAAATTTCCAGGCCCGCTTTCAAGAGAGATTTTTGTCTGCATTTGTTTACATAACGATTCATCTGGAACGTGATTAATGTTTGTTTGGGCGACGCTACGCGTGGAGGGTGAACTTTGCACCAAAGCGTCTTCTTCAAGGTCGCTGTAGTCAGCGGAATCTGATTTTAATAACGATACATCAGCTAGATTCGTAAGAATATTGTTAGCACAGTTTTCAATATCGGTGGAAAATTCTAAATATAGTAAGTTACATATGGCAATTAAATCTATGAGAGAAAATTCTTTGAGAATTTTTTGTTTCATATCTTCAAAATTAAATGGTTTGAGAAAACCAGAAAAATTGCGTAACCTAGCACGATTCTGCCGATCACCATCTGAGCCAAAAACTAAACGATGTAAAAGCTTGATATGCTTAATACTGGCGGTTTTTAATGACTGTGCAATGCTGGGATAATCATTAAGTGTAGCCATTATTTATCAGTTTCGTTTTTACCAAATATGAAATTCACAAAATATGTATGTTTCGATTTCATCAAATGTTATTCATCTCTGGTTTCAGAAATTAGTATACCAAAATATACTCTTAATTTTTCGTATTCTTCAAAATAATATTAATTCTTGTTAGTATATTACACAATAACTATGATGTTAAAACACTCAAAAATCATAAATGAAATTGTGAACATATGATTCAAACAAATGGTAAAATATATCGTCAAACAAATCTTCTTATAAGAGTATGTTAAGAATGAAAAATAGAATTCCACGTTAAAATATGATATCAAAATTAATAACTTAAAATAATATTCTACAGTCCTTGTAAAATATAGGCATCACAAAAAACGAAACCGAAAATAATTCTTCAAAGTAACTTTTTTTTTTTAATATATCACAATTCTGTAAATAATCAGTAATGTATTTCCATCAAAATCAAATACCTTTAGTTTATTCAATTAAACTTCATCAAAACTGTTTGATTAATTATCATCAACATCAAATTCGAAAACGGAAGTGTTAATTCTTCAAAGTAATAATCATTCAAAAATAAATGAATTTTCATCAACATCAAATGCCTTTCGCTTCATCAAATAAACTTCATAAAAATGCGTCATCAAATATTCATAATAACTTGAACGAATATTACTTCCTCATTAGTATTACTTCATCAAATAAAATTAGCTCTACTTACATGCTAACGAATCACAACAATGGGAATCTTGCGATATTATTCCACAGTAGTCCATCATTAAGAGCTATACTCGGTATGTTATGTGGTAGTCTAGGGGATTTAGAAAATTGAAGGGAAGAACAGATTTTAGTTCAAGGAGTCGAAAGAGTTCGCGTCTTTCTACTTTACTTTAAGAATGACAGCAATGTTAAGATTTAGTATTTTAATAAAAAAAAAAAAAAAAAAAAGAAACATAGAAAGATGAAAAGAAGTAAAATAAAATTTAGCTCCATAGCATAGGGTGGCATCACAATAGTGGTAATCCTCACACCAAATGGGTTTGAAAGTCTCTTAACTACCACGTAATAGTTTTTAGGATCCGTTCGCCACGTTGTCATCGCAGCATCTCACACGCAGAAGTGGAGAAGTCAATTCATCACACAGCTTCGAGAATCATCTAGCTGCTGATGCGGTTGCCAGGTGCAGGAAGGAGGAAGGTTGAGTTGTAGGAGCGCATTACCACATATATACATGAAAGATAAGGTTTAATTTGTTTTAGTTTCTATTTAGATGGTGTTTAAACATAGGCAGTGCATCTATACATATACGAAGACAACGTGCAAGGAAGTGAGCTAATAAATGTATATCTTAATTATGTGTTACCACTGAAGAAATGCAAGCCCTTCTTGAACAGGAACATGAGAAAGCTCAGAATGAAGTTGCTTCTTCTGAAGAGAAGGATAACAGAAAGAGCACATGCCTGCTGCAATCATTAGTGACCTTGTAATCAAGTGGGAAAAGATGCAAGCCACAACGAAGCAGCGACATCCCAATCAAGCTAGCAGCCACCATATTCTAATTAATTTTACATTGCCATTCAAGTGAGGAGAGTGGCAGATTTATTCAGTGACTATGCTATGCACTACTTTCAAACCATCCTGTAGAAAAGGGAGAAGCTATCCATTTTTAAACATTATTTTAAACTTGGGCCTATTAAAAAAAATGAAGGCAGGTGAATCTTTCAACTATAATGAAAGACTAAGAATTTATCACTTTAAGCTGAACTAAAAATGCTAAATTAATAAGTAAATCTTTGGCTTTTCTTTAAAATTTTCTGACAATTGTGAAATAACTTTTTAGATCAATATTGAAACTAGACCTAGATTTTAGACCAGTCTCAGAAGCAGATTAGAATTATTTCCTCAAAACGTAGTTGAAATTGTGCATTATGAATGACTTCTTGAAATTAACTGCATTTGTTATACAAGGCACTTCTGTGTTCTAACATGTATGAAAGTGGGAATATTTTTAGAACCTCTAAATTTTAAATTGTTTGTCAAGTAATGCTACAGTTGTCTAAATTAAGTCATTGTTTTATAAATACTATAAAATATTTTTGTTATTTTTCACTGAGAGAAGCATAAATAAATCTAATTAATTAATTATGAGGTAACTTTCTGTATAAAATCAGCAGGGGGTGAAAAATATATTAAGAGTGAAGCAAAATGATTTTTCACTAACTGTTACTAGCATAAGAAAAATTGACAAAAATGATGAATTTTAGTGATGATGATTGATAAAATTAAAAAATGAAAAGTTTTTTAAATGTTGATTACCAGTTTTTTAAATGTTGATTGTCACTTCATTATGTTTTAATCAAGCTAAAAAAATATGTGAATTGTTGATATTAAAGCATGTTAAAGCATGCAACTTAAACAGAAACTGATGCAAGTACAGTCAAAAGTCGTTAATCCGGACTCGTCGGGACTTCGGCGATTCCGTATTATCGATTTTTCCGGATTATAGATCATCACTTTAAATCTGGTAAGATTGCACGCAGAAATTATAAAATTAAAAATATGAAACTGTAATTTATGAAATAAAGAACAATTATGATCTAAAGGGTATCAAAATTTACAAGAAAAAAAGCTTAATATTTATTTGTTTACTTTATTAAACATTTAAAAGTAAGTTCTTTAAGTTGCTTCGTTTTATGTGATAATATTTTCTCTTTAATTCTATAAACAGACATAACTTCTTGTTCAGTTACAAAGTTCCGCTGTTCAAGTCGTATAATTGCTGTGTCGAGAATACCGACTAATTTGTCTATCGAAATTTTTTTCGTTTTCAATAACCTCTGTTTCACTTTCTTCACTATCGGAAGCGAACTATAATGACGAGGAATTTGATTTAAATCATATCAAAGACGGAGTACATCGAGATGAAATACTACATTTAGTAAGGAATTATAAGCCAAATAAAATAAAAACATCTGCCCTGAAGATAAGGATAGTGCTGACAGATCAACTTCCAATTCATTACGCGCCGTAGCGTTCCCCCCCCCCCCGGCCGCAGAGCAGCGTGAAATTGATAAACAGATTTCGGAATGGTGTTAGAGAAACAAAGGATATGCCTTTATCCATTCTTTGCAGCAGTTCCACTTTTTGTTTAATGGACTTCGAAACATACTTTCGCTTTGTAGATCCTTTACATATTAGTAAATATATATCATAAATTCTATTTGACATAATCGAAAGTTTAAGCTTACTTTTATAAAATTGCTCTAACAGTCTGCAAAACTAATAACCTGGATCCAATTCGAAGATTAAGGAACAAAGCAATCTGCAACATTAACTGAATTAGATAATTTTAGCTTAGCTTATACGGTCCATTATACATTAAACGCGCATGCATAAACGTATTATGCGCATGCGCACACCCATATTCACAGCCGTTAAGGTCTTACGAAAGTTTGTAGCTTTGAGGTCCAGATTATAGATCATTCCAGATTATGGCTGTCCGAATTAACAACTTTTGACTGTATATAAACAAAAGACCATTTTAATTTCGTATATTAAGGATGGTAATGAAAGATTTGTTTCTTGTGAATATTATATGTGCCCTTTTGTATATTTCTGACAAATAAGTAGCTGAGTTTACTGAATGGTTCATTTTTATGAGTTTATTTTATGCAAATGAGTTGGCTGGAAGGATTATTTTATGGTTTTGCTTATGTGCAGTGATGAGCTGATTTCTCTGCAATTATCTGAAATCCAAACTTAAGGAATTCAGCTTGTAATTCAATTAGGTTTTGAACTGCTTTTTACTTTGTATTTATTCATTTTTATGTGTATTTTTACAGCACAAAGTCTAAAATCTGAACAAGTCAGGACTTCAGCAATTCTAGATTTGGCATTTTTCTGGATATTAAATGACTCTAGTAAATTGGCATGTGGAAATCGTAAAATTAAAAAATGAAGTAGTGTTTTATAAAGTAATGAAGCATTATCAAAATTTACCAAAAAATCTTAATATTTTTTTGTGTTATTAAACATTTCTTTCAATGTAACTTGTTTAATTTGCTTCATTTTTTGTGTTAATATTTTCTCTTTAATTCTATAGATAAACATAATTTCTTGTTCTATTACAAAGTCCGATTGTTCAAGGTCCTGTAATTCCCTTATCGAAAATTGTCACTAAATGGTCAGTCAAAATTTTTCCATTTTGAACAACCTGTGGATTAATTTTTTTCACCATGGTTAGCAATATTTTCTGCATTTAGAATCATACTGCAGATTTTGCCATCCATTAGTTGACTGACGATTGGGGCATTATCACTGCAAAGAAAAATTCCAAGGATAGTGATTGTGATTGACTCTAGGTTGAAGATACTTGCAAAGAAATGTTTTCTGATTGAAATGTACTTTGAGGAATTTTCTAATCCTGAAATAAAAATTATGATCTTCATCTGATGAAATATGTGTGAAGACCTTTTTTTTTTTTTTTTTTTTTTTTTTAAGCTGAGTGAACGATTTTAAGTTTTGACAAAGTTAATGGACTTTTTTTTATTACTTAAAAGGGTTATATTCTCAAAGAAAAGTAGCAAAAATGTTGAAAATTTGAAAGGTTTACTATTAACTCAAAGCAAAAACTCATTTGATAATTAGATAAATAAAAGATTTTAAAAAACATAAAAAATGTTCTTATTGTTTTATTTAATTTTTGTCTTTTTTTTAAGGTATGTTAAAGAATTTATTTTTGTAATAAATTTTTTGCAGGTGTTACAATTTCAATATAAACATGTCTTTCATACAAGCAGTACAATTTATGTATTTACTTCTGAAATTTTTTTACTTTATTTTTTAATATCAAAAAATCAAGACCCAAACTATCAAATATAGATACGATTATATAATTCATATCCAATATAGATATGCTTTCCTTAATATTTGATATTAGGAAATCGTGTAAAAGAATTTTGAATTTCATCAATGTATTTTTTTTTCCTTCTTCCAGTAACAGCTATTGTTGGTGATGTACAGCCTCCTATTCCTGAACCAAAAGTTTTTATTGATCACCAGTTTGAAGCAAATGAATATGAAAAGAAATTAGTTCAGGTTTCTTTCTTTTTTTCCTACATTACTCCTTCTGAAATATTTTTTTATTTGGGAGGGGGGTCCATGCTATGTTAATTTTTAATTATTATCCTCTTTATGTTATATCAAAAATGTATTTTGATAAATATGTATATATTTTAACTTAATTGTGATTTTTCAGATTTTCACTGTGCTGTTTTAAGAACCTAATTTTATTTTGAAGGTTGCTGAAATGCATGGAGAATTAATGGAATTTAATGAGAGATTACATCGATTATTATTACAGCGTGAAGCAGTAATTCGTAGGCTGAAAGAAGAGCTGATTGATTTAAGAGGACCTGTAAGTAACAGCTTTTTACAAGTTTAGCTATGTACTTATTCATATATTATAATAACTGATAACAAATAATGTTATATATGCATTTAACTTTACCCATTCATGAAGATTATAGTATTTTATGGAATGTGATTACAACTCAAGTCTTTATATACATAGTTGCCAACTCTCCCAATTTTTGACCGCTCTCCCGCCAAGCCGATTTACAATATATTTCTCCTGCCTTTTTCTTATTCTTAAAATTTCTCGCAATTTTTATGGAACTTGGCCTAATACTTCGTTATATGAACAAAACAAACCAAAAAAAAAAAAAGTGTTTTTGGACGTCTGAAAGCAATTGAATTTTCTCTAGATTATATCTAAAACAAAACCTTGTGAATCAGATGAGAACCTCTGCTTTGTGAGTGAGAGCATATACGTATCCAGAAACGTCGTTCTCCAGTTCTCCAATGGGCATCGAGCTCCACTGCATGTCATCTGGCATATATTAGCCAATGAGCACAAAGCAAGCTCAAGGCTGTTATTTGGATGTTCTTTAGTTATTTCGTTCATATTGTCCTGAGTTGTGTGAGTACACGTGCCTTCGGGAAATAGTTTTAGAAATTATCTTATGTGTATCATTTTTTGTCAATTTATGTCTGCGAGAAAGGTGAAATACTCGTGTATGTTTCAAAAATCGTACACAGTTGACTTTTCTTCCATTATTTCCTCAAAGAAATGTAATAAATTTGTGATGTGTACCGTCTGTTGTTGCGATTTTTCGATTTAGCATGTTGTAAGGGTGGATGTTCTCAAACATGTGTGTACACAAAAGCATAAGGGCAACATGAGTTGTTTTGAAAAAAACGAAAAATTAAATTTTTCATCGGAAACAAAGGACCAAAAAGTTATTAATGCAGAATGTCTGTTCTCTGCTTTTTTACTGGAGCACAACCTGCCACTGAATGCATCATATCACGCTGCAGCTTTACTTAGAAAAATGTTTCCCAATAGTGAAATCGCTAAGATGTACTCAAGTGCAAGGACCAAAACAGCTGAAATTGTTAAAAAAATGGGTATGAAAAATAAATCTTCAGTTATTGATTGCATTAAAACAGCTTCGTTCTGCCTCTGTATGGATGGAAGCAATGATACCAATTCAAACTGTATCCAATTGTTGTTTCTTTTTTTAATCCTTAAAGTAAGTTTTCAGAAATTGAGTGCAGTTTACTTTCTATCCCCACTTTAGAAGGACATTCGACAGGCTTTAATATAGCACAGCTAATTATTAAAACTTTAAAAGAAAATGCAGTCCCTCTGGATAATTGCTAAGCACTTGGTGCCGATAATGTACCAGTAATGGTAGGCTTGAAGACTGGTGTTGCAGGCATCTTAAGAAAGGAGAATTCAGATTTGCAGATTATAAGGTGCATCTGTCACCTCTTAAATTTAGCAGCTGAAAAAGGGGCAGCTTCTTTACCAATAAATGTGGATGAACACATTGTTGATATTTATTATTATCTTGAAAGGAGTTATAAAAGGAAGGAAAAATTGAAACAGTTCCAGCAGCTGCATAATACTGAAATTTTTAAACATAAGTGTACACGCTGGCTGTCTTTAAAGAAATGCTTATCTAGAATCCTCGATCAATGGAATCCACTTCTTGCATATTTTAAAGAAGAAGTAAATGCTTCGAGAATTAAGATAAAAGGCTGTATTGAAAGTTATAAAATACCTAAAGTAAACGGAGATGTAGTTGCTACTTCCATTGTTTAAAATATCTTCGAGAAAAATAAAGTAATTTCTGCATCATTCAGCAATTCAAGCATTTCTGATAAATGTAGTTAATATGTGTGCTTGTAAGATGGAAAATACTCTGAAATGAAAATATAAAATTAGGCAAAGCAGCAACCTTGTTGTTTTACGTAAATTATATTTAAAACTCTACCATTTTCAAGGGCGAACTGGTGCAGGTCTCACTTCATCAAGAGGGGAAAAAAAATATGTCTATATTTTTGCTTCTACAGATTTCTTTTGCTCCTTATGAAGAGGAACTTGTCCTTGTTTACACTCGAAATTGGTAAAGTCTTAACTAAAAGACATGCCGAACATGAGGCTATTGCTTTGCCTAGTTATACATGGATGTATTTGTGCATGTATGTCTATCCATACTTTTTAAAGGATATAAGAAAAATTACTTCTTAATCTTATGGTAAGAATGCTGCATTCCAGTATTGGTAACCAGCGTCAAAGCATAATACAATTTGAGATATCAACAATTTAAGTTACATACAGTTCCTTCCATTTAAGAGATATCTTGCCTAGAATTATGTCGGCTGATGTTTACTCATTCCTTTTAAGAGTCAAAACTTAATGTGAAATAACTTATATCTTAGTGTACTGTTGAGAATATAAAAAACTACTGAGTTACAATTCTACACAACTGGCTTCTTACTTCATTAGAGTAGAAAGTTTCAGCATTATATTATCATAGCATGTCATACATAGTAGTTTTGGAACATAGAACCATGTTAGCAATTTTTCTTTGTAAAATCAGTGTAGTTTTCCCTTCATTCATTTTACTATTTCATTTCTCACAAACGCTGTCATATTCTAAGGAATTCTACCATTTATATAGTCCTATTTATTACACACATAATCATATAGAAGATGTGGCTAAATGCTTTTGACCAAATATGTTTGTGATTATTCATTTTATGACCAGAGCATATATTACTGCGAAGAATCAATCTAATATCATTCATGTCAAGAGTTTCTTTGGTTGAACAAGTCAGCCAAATATTGATCCACAGCTACTGCTAGAACTCATGTGTGACTTGGTGATCAGCACCCATCACAGTTACTTTCAATGTGAAACTTGCTGATAAAGAAAAGATTTTTAAAAATGTGTAAATTAATTAAAGGTCAAATTTATTTCCTTAATTTATACATGCAAACATCTGAAATTTTATTTCTTAACATTATTTTCAAATTAATTTGTAATTAAAATGTGGTGTGTGTTTCATGTTTATTCATAATTTAGGCAGAAATATAGTAACTTAATTAATCTATTTTTATTTTTCCAGCTTCCAGATGATAATCAGACTTCTGATGATGACATAAGTATTACTTCAGATTATGATGCGTGAGTTTAACTATTAAAAAACTCAATTTGATTCAGTATATTTAGAATTTAAATGTGACCCAGACTGTCAGATTTTTCCTGCAGTAATTATTGCAGCATAGTAAGTGATGTAGATCACTGCTGTGTGTTTCCTGAAAGGGAATGGGAGCTCGATAATGTTAGATCTGTGAGAATGATGAGTGTATAGGAATAGAAGAAAGGGTTGCTGCTTTTATTTAGGATAGAAATTTCAATTCTTCCAAATTTTGATCAATGTTGGAAACAATAGTTGTCATGAATTGGCAAATAAGATAGAATGCCACATTCTTATTATAGGCCACGTTTTACTCCCATTGTTAGCAGTGAGACTGAAGAATGAATACATATTTAGCGAAACACTTTCCATTGAAGAGGAAATAAAAACCATCTTCCAGCGTGTTTGGAAATACAGATTACAATGCTTTTACTTTGAATGATGGCATATTTTGCATATATGTAACCACTGCATTTTTGCGATTATTCTATTTGTCTGTGTCATATTTAAATACTGTAATAAAAGATATAGTATTGTTTTGTTTAAAAAAATATCATAGATACTAATTAATATTTTTTACACTGATTGTGTTAAGTTTCTCATTTTTTAAAGACAACTCAGATTGCACTTATTTTTAACAAAATCATAATTTCAAAATTTGCATAAACATAACAGATTGTGAATTTATTAAAACAGAAAAGGAGATGAAGAGTGTGGTATGTGTTTATCAGACACAGTGCAATCAATGAGGCATTACAAATAATCAAAATTACTTCATATACACTTTTTATGGGTTTCTTCCTATTTTTTACCTTGTAGAATTTATATATATAAGCAGAGACTATCAAAATTTTTCCCCCTCATAAATTATATGCCTCATGCTGCCTTATCACTCTTCAAAAATTTAAATTGTCCTGTAAGACCTTATATTCCAAACCCTATGCAATACTTCCAATGCCTGCGTTTCGGCCATTCTAAGACGTCTTGTCGTGGCAGCCTCACATGCGCCCGATGCTCACAGATTGGCCACGATTCTGAAAATTGTACCACTGCGCCTCTTTGTATAAATTGCAAGGGTGAGCGCCCAGCATTTTCACGCCTGTGCCCAAAATGGTAATTGGAAAAAGAAGTGCAGACTGCAAAGGCTACGAGGAACATCTCATATGCCGAAGCCAGAAGATTAGTCCAAAGCACACAGCTACGACCAAATACATCTTACGCCAATGCTCTTAAAAGATCTCGTACAGTTGCCACCCAAACCTCAGTTAGTATGCAGACTCCACCAAACAAAACTCAACAGACTACAAACAACAGGAAGAAAGAAAACCCAACCCATACTGTACAAAATAAAGAAATAGTGATTCAAAGCAAACCCAAAACTACCACACAAAAAGTATCAAATAAAAATAGAAGTTCCAGCAATAGCTCTCTTGATGTAATGGTTTCTGAATCTGCAGATTAAGACAGTATGGAAGTAGAAGAGGGTCTGGAAGTTCCCAAGCATCTACTTCCACAAAAAACCAAACAAGAGCACAGAAAGAACAAAAAAACATTCATAATGGCCACCCTCGTCTCATGGAACGGTCGCGGTTTCCACCAAAATTTGCTTGACATCAAATCTATAATAAATGCTTATCATCTCATGTGCTTAGCAATGCAGGAAACAAATCTGAAACCAGAACAACATGCAAAACTTCGGAGGTTTTTTTCGTCAGGAAGGATAATCTTGCAGGTGAGCGTGCCAGTGGAGGTATAGGTCTCCTCACCTCACTGGACTACCCATCAAGTTCCTTTCCTTTGACGACATTCCTCCAAGTTGTCATTACTCAAACAAATTTTGATATTGTTGTTACAGTCGTTTCTCTGTATTTGCCTCCAAATGAGCACATTGATCAGGAAGATTTAAATGGTCTTATAGAGCAGCTGCCTGAGCCTTTTATAATAATAGGAGATTTTAACAGCCATAGTCCACTCTGGGGTAGTAAAGATACAAATTGCCGAGGAAGACAAATTGAGCAAATGATTGAAGATCATAGCCTTTGTCTCCTGAATAATGGGCAGGAAACTTACTTCCATGTGCCTTCAAGGACTTTCCACGCTCTCGACTTTGCCATCTGTTCACCATCTCTGTTGCCATTTTGCACTTTTAGTGTCGGAAATGACCTGTACAACAGCGATCATTATCCCATTTTTGTGTCTCTTGCACGAAGAGGAGCAAACCCCATGTCGAGAGTCCCTCGGTTTATTCTGGACAGGGCAGACTGGGAACTCTTCTCTTCCGTTACAGAGCTGACAGATGAAATGGTAGAAGATGTGCATATTGATGATGCTGTTGATGCTGTTACTAATACTATTATTCAGGCAGCTATGCTGTCCATTCCTAGAACATCAGAAAAAATGCTCAAATATACGAAACCATGGTGGAATCGCGACTGTCATGAAGCACTGAAAAAACAGAAAAAAGCATGGGGAATTTTTCGTAGATATCCTACTCTGCGAAACCTCATAGCATTTAAAAGAGCCAAAGCAAATGCACGAAAAGTAAGAAGGCAGAGCCAGAGGGATTCCTGGATTTCATATGTGTCCTCAATAACATCCTCTACGCCTAGTAAGCGGGTTTGAAAAGCATGCGGAATATATAAAGATTACTCACTTTCCTTTCTGGAAAAAGATGGCCGAGTGATTAGCTCCATAGAAGAAATTGCGAATACTATTGGTGAGACATTTGCAGCCATTTCTTGCAGCAGAAACTATTCACCTGCATTTCTCTCTATCAAGCAGCACTCTGAAATAAATCCCATCGCATTCAACTCTTCCAAATCTGAGCCGTACAATAGAGACTTTACTATGGTTGAATTAAGGAGAGCTTTGTTGCAGACACATAGGTTTTCTTGTCCGGGTCTCTGGATGGCGTTGAATTATGAAATGCTAAAAGCATCTGTCCTATAAGTCACTGACTGCCCTTCTCACACTTTACAATAGAGTGTGGAAGGAGCGTACTTTTCCCAGTGCATGGAGGAGAGCTGTAGTAATTCCTATTGCGAAGCCAGGGAAAGACCCGAGGAATCCCTTGAACTATCGACCAATTGCCCTTACCAGTTGTGTTTGCAAACTGTTTGAAAAGATGGTAAACAGCCGCCTAGTCTACTTCTTGGAAAAGAATAATATATCGCCTTATCAAAGTGGTTTTCGAAAGGGGAGAACAACCGTAGATAACATGCTCCTCTTAGAGACATCCATTCGAAAAAGCCTTTGTAAGAAGAAGTCACCTTGTCTCAATATTTTCTTGACATTAGAGAAAGCTTATGATAAGGCATGGAGATACGGTATACTTCGGCGATCTTCACGAGAGTGGCTTGCGCGGCAACCTACCAATTTTCATTCAGAATTTCTTGAACGCTAGAACTTTTCAAGTAAGTAAGAATTGGCTCTGTTTTGTCAGATGTTTTTGAACAGGAAGAGGGTGTGCCTCAAGGCTGTGTGCTTAGTGTAACCCTGTTTCAGTTTTAAAAATAAACTCTGTATTAAAAGAACTTCCTCCCACCATCTTGGGATCTCTATATGTTGATGATCTGCAGATTAGCTGTCAAGGGGCAGACATGAGATATGTAGAGAGGCAACTGCAGATGGCTCTGAATTAGATCCAAGAATGGTCAGACAAACAGCGATTTACATTTTCGAAACAGAAAACATTGTACGTGCACTTTTGTAGGAAGCGCGGTCTACATCCTGAACCTAATTTATATCTGAATAGTATAATTATACCAGTTGCGGCCGAAGTAAATTTTCTAGGAGTGACGTTCGATCGAAAATTGACTTTCCTTTCTCATGTTTTAAACCTGAGAAAGAAGTGTTTAAAAACACTTAATATTTTAAAAGTGTTGGCGAACACCTACTGGGGTGCAGAGCGTTGCTCTATGCTTCGCATTTACCTCATAGTCCGCTTGTCCGCTCTAAACTGGATTATGGCTCAGTTGTTTACGGATCCACCCGGTCATCAGTATTGTTAAAACTGGATCCTGTTCACCATCAAGCTCTGCGGATTTGTTCAGGAGCTTTCAGGACTTCTCTCTGTCCAGAGCCTGTATATTGACTCTAATGAACCATCACTTTATCTGAGGCATGAGCAATTGTCCCTTTTGCAATATTTTAATATCCTTTTGCAACCTGAATATCCTAATAAGCTGGGTTTACTTGATAATGCGTGTAACACATTATTTGAAACACGTCCATCCTGTGTTCCTACCTTTGCTTTAAGAGTTCGCCCTGTCGTTGAGGAACATTCCCTCTCTGATATGCGCCCCCAAGCAGTACAGAATTTTGAAATCCCACCTTGGGAAAATTCACGGATTCAGCTTCTTCATGTTTTCAAACATCACGTGAAGGCAAGCACTAACGAGATCGTTTACAGACAACTCTTCGCTGAGCACAGGCACAAATATAGCAGTTATCATCCGATATACACAGATGGATCCAAGTCAAATGATCATGTCGGGATGGCATTTGTATTTGAAGATTACATAGAGGGCAGATGCCTGCACCATGCTTTCTCAGGTCTAAAACATCTGAACTAACTGCAATATATTATGGTCTTCTGTACATCTCAAAGCTCTGCTACAAAAAATTCATAGTTTATACAGACTCGTATAGTGCTCTTAAAACTTTGGAAGCTTTTCCCAACACTCAAAATCCTGTTGTAGTGGATGTTCTGAAAATTCATATAAACTTAAAGATTCGAGGATATGAAATCCTGTACTGCTGGGTTCCCGGGCATACGGGAATAAAGGGAAATGAGCTTGCAGACATCGCGGCAAAATCTGCTGTTGAACTGTCCAGTCGCCTTATCCCTTTTAGAGACATCTGCTGTGTCATCAAGGGGAAGATCCAGAAAAAATGGCAGCAAATTTGGGACGTTCAGTTTAACAACAAGTTGAGAAATGTAAAGCCTAGAATCGAGCATTGGGATTTTGCTGGAAATCGTAAGGAGGAAGTTCTTTTGACTCGCCTCAGAATTGATCACACTAGAGTGACACATAACTATCTTTTAAAAGCTGAGAACGAGCCTGTTTGTTTAAATTGTAATGTTTGTTTATCTGTCCGTCATATTTTAATTGAGTGTCCATGTTTTAATAGTCTTCGTTCAGAAAATATTTTAATAGCTGTGACTTACCTCTCGACCGTTTAATCGGAAGAGAGATCAATTGTAATTTATTTTATTATTTAAAAGAGACTGGCTTTTATTACCTAATGTAATTTGTTTTGACGATTGTGTCTTGAATTTTAATGTCTGCTTTTACCTTGTTTTTATATGACTGCATCCTCTGGATTTGGTACATTTGTCCACTTGTTTTTATTTATTGTATTTTAATTTCATAAATTTTGATCATCTCACCTTGTGGTTGGCGCGTCATAATCATCTTTAATTTTGCGCCAAAAAACCCACTCGCTCACCCCCCTTTTCAAAAAGTTATTTTTGTTCTAAGATTATTCCTGTCACACATATTCAGGTTTTAACTATTCCAGACTTCGTGCAGATTTCTATAGCAAAAATGTGTACAGAATCCAATAAAAAGTCTCACGTATATCCCTTTTATTTCAGAATGAACATTCTTAGATTGAGCAGTTTATCTCTAATAAAGTGAGACAGATAAAATCAGATAAAAGCAATTACGTTGTTCTATGCAAAATAGGAAAGCTGTTAAATCAAGACTCGCACAAGTACAGTTAAAATGTCTAAGATTTGGATATCTCGGAACTTCGGCGATTCCGGATTTGGTAATTTTCCAGATATTAGAGCATCAGTAAGCGCTTCCCTAAACTCTAAAAACTGTGCATTCCAGTGCCTTCCCTAAATTCTATAGATTTTGCCATCGCTTAATTTTGTTGCTCAATGCGTTTTTAAATTTTAAAATTTTGTCTTTCTTAAATTCTGCCCTGCCAGTCCTGGCTGTGGTTCTGGACTTATCTGAATAGTGAATCGTTATTCTGTATTATAACACCACAAAGTGTAATCTTTTAGTCTATAAATATCATTTACAAAATCTATTTTTTGCATATTGAAAGAAATTTATGTTAAATTTCTCCTCATTGACACATTCAACATTTCAAAGAGCAGTTAGCTAAAGTCTGTAATCATTGACAAGCGTAATGTCAACATAGGTAACTGTGCCGTCGTGATGATGAAAGCAAAAAATAATGATCCACCAGGTTGGCATCAGGGGTATAAATTATTCAATAGGTGTAAAATCAATGATGTTTCAATGTAGAATGTTTCGGTCTATCATATATGTCAAGCAAAAAAAAAAAAAAAAAAAAAAAGCTATCGAACCAAATTGATCCTATAGATAATAAATGATTGTTTCTTCAATGTGGAGGTATTTTATTTAGTGCTGAAGTGAAATTAAAAATTAGGTCTCTCCACGTGTTATTATGAAAAAATACGCATGCAAAAATAAAAAAGGTTAGTGAGATCATTCTCGATTGCGAATTTTGTAATGTACTAGAAAAAAGGTCAATTGTAAAGTTTTAGTATTTGTCTAATTACCATGAATTGACAATCAGAATTGCTATGGCATTGTTTAATTACAGTTATCAAACATAAATTATTTACAGAATGCAAAATTATAAAGGAATTTGTCATATGTGATGAAAATCCTACTTGTTTAAAAATTTCCAGCTCTTTCTGAGGAGTGAATACATGTGCCTTACTCTTCATACCTCCTTTTCAGGAATTACCAAGGCATGTTCAAAGACAGAGCATGTGAGAATATTAATTCTGCTTGATTTTTATTGACTTTTTATCCAATACAGCTTAGTGCTTATAGTCTGGTATATGTTAATTGTGTCAAAATGTCAAGTAACATAATAATTCAGTGTGGAGGGAAATTTGGATCAAACAGCATTCATTACATATGACAGAAATTTATGTATAACATTACATTCTGTGTTCAGCGTCTATTTGATGATAACTTGTAATTAATGTGCTTAAAGTTGTACTGTATAACTTTATATTTGACCATTCTGTTCTATCCCTCCTTTTATTGCAAAATTAAATTTTATCTTTTATTTTATTTTTTATTTATTTATTTATTTATTTATTTTTTTCTGCTAGTTGACAGTACAGTCAGATAGGTTTAATAGGTTCTGAGATAAAATGGCTGTTTACAGAGTAAAATTTAACTCTTTCTTTGATTTTCCGCTAGGTGACAGCATAATGGCTGTAATTCAGTTTTTGCTTTGGTTTATTTCATTATGGCAAAGCATACATGTGCTATCTGCCTAAGAGGAGGGATGCCTTTATAGAGGACTTTCTAAGGGAAACGCTCGTATACACGTTGCACATGGGGAAAACCATAAAAATGCCCATGTAGCCATCCCATCCTTTGGGATTCGAACCCCAGCTGTATTTAAATTGGGCATATGCACTTTGTTGGAGACAGAAGTTAATATGTATGGTTTGAGACTGTTTTTATAAAATAAGTGCATACAAATTTTCTTTGTCTTAACATACTGTTGCATAAATTAAAGTTTTTTAAATAATTTTTACTTATGCATTTGCCTACAACTGAAGTCATTTTTCTTGTTTTACAATTTTATGGACATAAATATGATTTGTATAAATATACTTCAGATAGCTTCGTACTATCAACAAAATCATTCAGCAGTCTTGGAATTTTACATGAAAATATAAAGCCACTGAATCCAGAGAGTGAACTGAAAATGTATGGAATGGATCAAACTGATGGAAAACAGAAACATATAAGATACATTTTTCAACTATTATGTCAGTTTAGATTGCTTAAGTGGCATTGTTGTTTGCATTAGTGAATGAGAGTATCCTGAAGGCCCATCTGATGACTGTACAACTATTTGAGCAAATAATTAAACTGCCTTTGGGAAAATGTGTTGTTAGAGCCACAGTCAGACAGTATTGTTACCTCTGGTTCTATTAGTGCATCTGTAAACATCATGAAGGCAGCAGCAGAGCAAGAAAAATATTTTCTTGGGATGATTGTGAATTGTGCAAGCTTTCATGAGTACAGTGAGAGCTTTTTTATCTGCCACTCAGAACTGCTTTTCTATGTCATTGCTAAAAGTACAACCATGTTAAAATCTGATTTTATTATAACAGCAGAAATAGAGCAAATGATAAATATTAGATTATCTATTTGAAATAGATTCTTATAAAGAGTTTCATAGTTTTAATACTTTTTGCCATTTTTTAAGATTCTTTATGGGATCAGTATACTTATATTATAGATTAAATATAATAATAATCTTTCGTTTATTTCTGTTATCTGAAAAAAAATTGTATTTCTAGTTCATCTCAAACTGCAACATTAAGGCCTTTGATCAATGTATGGATCCCATCAGCGTTTCTGACTGGAAGAACAGCTGATGTTCACCATGTTTATCAGGTTTGCATTGGAAAACCTTTATCAATATTTTTAGTTTTCCATTATCAAATAGCATAGAAATTTCAAACTGTGTACTGTACTTGCCACTTATTAAAATCTTCATAACTGCCCTCTCTGATATCTCAAACATTAGTTATAGCAGTGTCTCCTTTGATTTTATTAAGCAGCTGAGTTTAAGACAGCAAATTGTAATATCGGTTTTAACCTTTTCTAGTAAAGTAATAGCTGACAACTAATTCGAGAATTAATCCTAAAGTACTAATTAAAAATTAAACTGTTTATAAAATTTTAAAATTAATTTTTTTATTTTTTATTAAATTATGTTTTTATTGAAATTTAATCTCTTACAAAAACTATCCTATTCGTATTCATTTCATATTTTTCAATTGTATTTTCAGTTTTGTAAAACTGATGGCGTAGCCTTTTTGAAGCACTTCTGAGTTCAAGATTTTTTCTTAGAATTTGCTGTGCTTTTCTAGGTTTGATTGATGTTGGCATATCATTGCCTTTTTCTTTATCACTTTCACTGTTAAGTTTCAGCTGTTCTAACCCTTTTTAGTCAACTTTCACACATGTTATCTCAATATTTTTGCAAACTGACTCATAAAAATAAATCATAACTACTGTTTCTTATGTTTCAAACATTACAGCTTGCAATTCCACTGAGGCTTCTTATGCATAAAAGCCATATTTTCAAAAAATGTTTTTAACTGATTTCGAGAGTTAACCTCCTGCATTGACTATACAGTGCTTGCCCTCTAACAGAGTTATCAATTTACTTATCTGTTTCAAAGTTCTTGCATTTTCACAAAATTCAGTTCTGTTCAACATTTTCAGACATTTCTCTAATGACATTTGAAGTCTTTTATTATACACTGGTTTAAAGGATGAAAGTTAGGTATTGATTCGGAGGATGCAACATTAATATTTTCAGAAAGAAATCAAATGTGTATGTGCTACACAGTTATTTAATTAGTTAAGTTATTTTATCATTTTTCAGTTAGCTGTCCTGTTTCAAAAGAAAATCATTTCATTTTCTTTGAGGTTTAAGCTTTTTCAGAAGGCATTTTCAATGTGTTATAAGTTAAGCGCACAACAGATTTAAGAAATTCTTCGTCCAGTGTTTTCTTTTTTCGAAACTTATGTCCTGGCTAGCAGAAAGATTGCCCTTTGTCTGTTTAGTCGATTTGCCGCTTCATAATTGCAAGCATGACTAATGCTTTTTTGCTTTTCCTTCAGCATACAATTATCATGTTCTTTAAATTCAAAGATTGTTAATGTATGGTAATGCTATGCTAAGAAGCGTTTCATGAACTATTTTATAACTCTCCATGAACATGATATGTCTATCCCAAAGGGAATATTTCAAATGTGTAAACCTTAAAAGATAGAACATAAAAGTTGCACTTCTACCTCCTATCAGCTGGGATTCAAAAAGGATCCATCATTCATTTCCAGTATTTTTAGAAAACTATTTTTGTTAAGATAAGGAAATTTCTAGCCCTTTGAAGTCCAGTGGGAACAAAAAGTTCTGAAAACAGTATCTTATAGGTACAGTGTCCAGAAATCGAAAAATTTTGGTCAAACTTGTTTTATTGGAGCATTACATATCTGAATGATAAAGTCCCTGTCCACAGTACATTAAATAGATTAACTACAGAAAGCTTTGGTAAGTACAAGTAGGATATTTTGACACTGAAGAATTAGTCTTTTGCTGGTTTGCAATTTTGCACTAAAGAATCGGTCTTTTGCCAAAGTTTTGTAAGCAACACAGATGAGGTCAGTTAATGGCAGTTTTTCTGTTGATTAATATATAGCCCTGAATAGTCTAAGTAAGCCGCACGAGTGTCCAGATTCTGCTCTCAACTGTTGATTAATATGTATTTGTTTTGGTAATATTTCTATTTAATGGCTGTGTTTATTATTGGTAAGTTTAATAAGCAGGGGTACAATATATATTTCAATGTAAAAATTATTTCATGTCATTAAATATTCACCTAAAAGGCCCAAAAGTTAGTAAAATTAGGATAAATCAGCGTAATTAGATTGTGATTTGTATTTAATACAGGATATAAATCTAAATACATTAATGTATTAAATTTAATTTTTAATGAAATGCTTATTTTCAATAATTGGTGTTTGTCCATGCTGTAGAGCTGTAAGTAATATTATGAAATTATAATATTTATTAGAATTCCTGCTTTATAAAAGTCAGGATCACATTTACATTTCCTAGGTTTTTACTTGTATTGATTTGAAATAGCAAAGTAAAAACTATGTAGCCATAAATGAGGCAAAAAGTACTTTTGTGCATGAATATATATGTCATCATTAAAAAAATATTAATTATAACAGGAAATATTCATCATGAAATTGCTACAACATGAATACATTCTCAGAGCAGCTTTTGTGTGTAATATGCATTGTTAAATTTTTCATGGATTTCATCTCTGTATTTTTTGTAGTTCTTTTGCAGTTGTTAGTGCCTTGTAGATGTTGTTTCAAATACTTAGTATAATTTATAAACAAATATAAAATGGCCTTGAACCATTTTGTATTGGAAATCATTTCAGGTGCTGAGTTACATCTAATAAATTTCTCTATTTCAATTTTGAAAATATGGTTTCAGATTAAGAGTGTTTTTATTATCAAAAAGAGTTATATTGTCTAAATTTATGAATTTTTGAAGTAATATATAATAAATATTTTTGTTGTTTTTCATGTCTCATGATTTCTGTTTCTCGTTTCAGTTTCAGGCATGCAGAATAATATACCTTGTTTAAAAATATACGTTAATTAAATAAAAGCTCAAAGCTCAAAACCTGTTACAGGTTACTTAATTTAACTACAGAAAATTGTAAAAATCTTTTGTAATTAAATTGTAGAGTTAAGTATGTTCTAGAAAGTTTTTAATTAAGAATAATCAACATGTAACATCAATATCTTAGGTTTATGTAAGAATACGAGATGATGAGTGGAATGTGTATCGGAGGTATGCTCAATTCTATGCTCTACACAAATTGCTAAAAAAAAAGGATCCAATAGTGAATACCTTTGATTTTCCTCCAAAGAAAACAATAGGCAAAAAAGTAAGTATGACATTTTAAATAATGTGAGAATTTAAATTGTTAAATATTTCTGTCTTCAGTTTTGAATAGTTTTTGTTACACTTCCTTGTACATTACTCTGTTAAATAACACTCAAGAAAAGAGACAAACTTATTAGTTGTTAAGGCAAGTATTTGTTGGCAATTAACATGTCTTGATAGTATGTCATTAAGATTTGGGATTACACATTTTCCAAGTCGTGTGAATATTATTTCCCAAAGCTTCAAAAAGCCCATGCAGTACTGTGTAGTTACAGCTCCAAGGGCTAGGAAGTTAGTTGTGAATCATATTTGAGATTTATCTGTTCAAAAAAAGAGTTAGCCAAATCATGATTTAGTTTTTACTCTGTGAGTGATTTGGGAAATTCATGATATTTCTCATGCACTAAGGAGGAATTGCATAATATCCATGTTCTCCTTAAGCAATTTCCAGCTATTTATCATGGTGTGTGTCATGAATTTTTATGGTGTGTGTCATTGTCAGTTTCTTGCTGCTTATCTGGAGTGATTATTTAAAGAGATGTCAACAAATCTCTAGCTCACTAAAATATTTTGTCTCAAAATTAATAGTTGAAGCATTAGAAAATTTCTCATGATTTATTATTAAAAATGGTTTTATATAAATTATTTTGCAATGTAATTGTGTGTGTGATGTAATATTTATTCTCTCTGATATATTTCATTCATTTTCACCACAGCATATTTGTGTATTTATTTTAATATAAAAGTGTTTTCTTGGAAGTTGAATATGATGGTTTAGAAAATTTGAATGCAGTCAACTACTTTTTTTATGCTTTTATCAATAGTTAAGAAATTAAGTGAGAAAAGCAGTGCCAATGAAAACTAATGAAAAGCAAAGTTGCAAAACTAATGAAAACTGAAAAAGAAATGTTGAAAGCTTTCACAAATAGTCGTATCCCATTGGTAGGAAACTAATCAATGTAATTTTAAAGTATCTTCATTGCTGCAAGTCACTGTATCATTTCCTTTAATGATGTAGTACTCTTTTTTTTTTTTTTTTTTTTTTTTTTTTTTTTTTTTTTTTTTTTTTTTTTTTTTTGAGTGAGTGTGTGTGTGTGTGTGTGTATAATTATGATATTTTCTTGATTTGACTGATAATTTGCCATTTGCCTACAAGCAAATGAGTTTGATGCTTTTCTGATATTTTTAGCCGAAAGAGCGTTATCCTATTAATTTTGTTTTGGCGTTTTGTGTTGAAAACCTAAATATCCATTTCATTTTTCAAATTGTTGCCACCAAATATTATTGCCCTATGCTATATTTAAAGAAATTAAAAATTGAATCTGCACAAATGTATGTATGTTTCTCACATTGTGATAAAACAACAGTACCTAGAGCCATCAAATTTTGAATAATGTAATCCACCACTGAATATAGGTATCTGGATGCCCTAATTTGGAATTTGTTTTATTATCGATTTCATATTTTGTAATACTTTAATGAATTTTTTATTAACAAATTAAATGATTTCAAAGGGAACAATGGCAACACTGTATGGGGGGAAAAAAATTATCTCTAGTGCACGAGACTGTGCATCGGAAATTCTAAAGATATGCTCGTTTTAAAATTATTTCGTAATATTGCAAATGAATTGAATTTAATGTGATTTAAATGTAAAGAACATGATATTTAAGAAATAAAGGTAACACACAAAGGGCTTAATGTAAAATCTGAAAGCACTCAGATTTTTTTAATGGAAGCTTTTCTTGCAAAACATTACAACATTTTCATGAATTTCATAATGTAGGTTTCTGCTCTTCCCTGTGATCTTGATTTTTATCATCTAGTGCAGAAATTCATTTTCAATACTTTGGTCAAATTTATCTACGTTAATAGACTTGGTACCTGTTGTTTGCCCTCTTTTTTTGTTTGTTTATTTTATTTCTTCTTAAAAAATAGTGGAACCCATTTAACTTGTTACATGGTTATGTAAACAAGAAAAAAGTATTTTAGTTCTATTTCATTTCATATGTATTGCATTTATATCACTTTCTGCAATAGCAGCAGTACATAGGGTAACTGTGCTTGTTAAGTCCTAAATTTAATCTCTATCTGAACATAGGACCAGAGTCGGTGATTAACATAAGATTGTGTAGACTCATGTTAAATCAAAATCACATGCATAAAAAGGGAATGAAATATTTATTTTTAACTCATGTCAAATCAGATTTGGGTAAAAACGTAATTAGGTGTATATTGTTTTGATATTTTATAGATATTTTTTAGTATGCATTGAGGAAGGGTATCTGTTCTGCAAAAATTCTGTCTATACCACTGTAGGCTGGATACTGTCTTCAGCTGGAATCCAAGATCTTATCAAAAAATTGAATAAGTTAACAAGGCCAGTACCAACTTGCTTGAGGAAACTTGAAGTGAATTATTTACACATTAGAAAAAGACAAAAGAACCTGGAAGGGTACTGTTTGTACTTTTAACTTATATTTAAGGATGGTTTCATTGTGTCAACCGAGAACATTTTATTGCACCGTAAACTTCATTCTAACCACATATGCCAGTTAATTCTTCAGCAAAACTTTGCTATTGGTGGAATGTAATCAGGCTGATAATATAAATTTCTATCTATTCTGACTTTTGAGAATGCTGATAAATATCAGTTTGAATAGATTTTTGTAAAATGAATCAAATGCTTTGTCATTAGGGAATTGTCAAAGATATCCTTTAAAAAAAAAATGCTTTCAGTCCATATATTTGAAGTGAAATATTTAATAAGTAATTTTTTGACAGCTTTTTTACTTTGTCTTGTTGATTGAGGCCTTATACTGAGATCACTGTGTATTTTGTAAGAATTATCATTGCTATTAAGGAATAATCCTTTATTTGTTAATAGTGAAAAATTATATTTGTAAGCTTTTTTTCAATTAATTGCATTTAATGTGTGACATTTAACATGTTATGATCTAAATTATTTTTATTACTTATAAAATATTTTCAGATAATTAATAATGGCAGTTAATGATGTTTGCAGTTCTCATTTAAACTGAGTTATATTTCTAATTATTTTAAAAGCTAAATGCTGTCTGAGTCAGTGCAATAATCCTGTTATTTAGGTCGTACAGAAGTAAATGACACAAATGCTGCCATAGAGCGGGTTACAATTTATTGATAAAAAACTGATAGTACATCAGTTAGAAATAATTCCCGCCCATGCCAATACACTTCTGCCATCTGACTAGGAGATGCCAAAGAGCTCTGGTAAACCAGTCTTTGGAGGTATTGGTGCACCTGTGGGCAATTGCATGCAACTCGGCAGAAGATTCAACATGTTGGCCCCTAACTGCGCCCTTCATGTTGTCAAGCAAGGCATAGTCTAAGGTCTTTGTTCGAGGTCTGAGTCCACCCACTTTACACATGCATTTGTCATCTCCAAATCACCATGCACAATCGCCTGCAATGTTCCTTGCACAAGCTGTGCCTCTTCCTGCATCTTGTTGAACGTAATGCGCCTGTTCGCCTTGATCAAATCCGACATGGCTGCCACATTTGCTTCTGTATGCGATATTGCTGGTCGTTCCGCACTGACATCTTTGGCTGCGGCCTCCACTCCACTGTTGAACTTGACCAACCAACAAGATATGCTATGCCTTGAGAGTGCTTTGTTCCTGCACACTGACACCATGGAACAATGGATCTCACTACCCTATATATCTTCCTTCCATAGGAACCACATTGTCCAACGCTAATGCTGACCATGATAATCACCTTCCATCATTACTGTCCATGCTCTCAATGACGACGGCAAAAGGGACAGGTGCTGACTTATACCATTCAGCTTGCAGCCAGCTCCATCTATACATTCTGAGTAGCTCATGCCCCCTTGCATCTATTTCACTTGTTTTTCGTTCGTATAGTGTAATAGTTTCATTGTGAGAGTCGTTGCGTCAATCATTTCTGTATGATGCAAGTATTTCAGTATTAAAGTACTACTTGGGAAATTCATTTTCATAAGAATGAAAAGTTTATTCTTTTATTTAAAAAAATTTCATGATGTTTAAGTTTTTCCCCTCCCCCAGTGTATATTGTAAAAATGGCGAAAGTTTTTTCTTGGGGGGATAGCTTATGTGTAGATGTGCGTGTGTGTGTATATATATACTCTTTTTATTTAGGATGCAAAAGTAGTAGAACAGCGCAGACGACGTTTGCAACATTATCTGCGATGTGTATTAAATTGGCTACTTCAGACAAATTCAGATATTTCCAGCAGTCCAGACAAAGAGACTTTCATTAATCTTTTACCATTTTTCAGGTAAGCTTGAAGCCATAATTTGATATCATATAAATATTCTTAATAATAACTTCATGATAATAAATTACTAGAATGTTATATTTTTTAGAATACTCATAAATAACAATGTAAAGAGAAGAATTCTTTCTAATAATACATTATATTTTTTGTCATATCCTGAACATCCAAATGAAAAACTGCAGCAAGTAATAAATTTAGCCTTGATGTATTTTAATAGTTTGAAATATCAGATTTATAGTATGTGACTGAGAACTAACTTTTCATTTTATCCTATAGTAAATATTGTGATTAATATATTACAAAAAGTTAAAAACTACTGATTTTGTGCCAAAAGGATAATATGAAACAAAGTGCCTAGCTGTTGCATAATGCTTATAAGGACATTTTAATACTTAAATGTTAATTTTCTGGGCTAGATTGAAAATAAAGCTCTTTTTTGTTCAAAATATATGCCAAGTTATGCTGCTGATGTTATAAATCATTGAATTTTTTGTTTAAATTTCCCGGTTTTGTTAACCTGCTGTTACTGTAATTTTTATGGTAAAAAAAGGCAACCCATTTGGGGTCTTTTCTTTCCCACTCTTTCGTATGAAACCATGTTTTCTTCCTTTTTTTAGCATAGAATGTTTGAACCATTAAGATAGAAGTTTGATTTTTGTATATTTTATATGTAATTTTTATATATTTTTTTAAACAAGCCAATATGGTAATGCATGTTCTTTTTTTGCAAAATACACAATTCTTACCATTTATTAACCACTACATTTATTTATTTTATTAACCACTACATTTATTTATTTTATTAACCACTACATTTATTTATTTAGAGCATACTACTAGTATGCTCTAAATAAATAACTGCATTTAAGAGAGGTACCATTGTTCCATATTTGCAGCATTTTTAAGGATGAGTCGAGAATATTTAATTAGCTATTAAATACTGTTTAAGTCTACTAAATCTCCCATGAAAGGTAATTTAAATGTTCAAAGTTATAAATACTTTTTTTCTTTATACATACTTTTTTTAATTCAAAATTATTTTAGTTTCTTTTTTTGTTGCTTTATACTTATATAGTTCTTTTAATACATTATTTATTAATGTGTGTATATATATATATATATATATACATAATTTACATTTTAATTATTTATTTTAAAATATTTAGCTATTTAATGATATGAATATACCATATTTGACGGCATATAAGACACACTTTTTTTTCCTATATTTGGTCTCAAAAAAGTCTTATACATGAAGGACACAGTCTTATACGTGAAGATAATTGCATTCAATAATTGTTTATTTGGCTTTTATGAAACATAAGAACTAAAAGAAACCACGCTATTGAAACTTTTTTCCTTGTGTGTGGCCGTCTAAATAAGGGTGCATCTTATATGCCAGTGCGTCTTATATGCCGTCAAATACGGTAATTTAAAACAGTTTACTACCTTACTCTTAATTACTTAGTGTAGCCACAATTTGGTACAAATGTGTAGGGTTATAAAAAATGCAAAATATTCTTAGGGTAAGGATAGTTGAAGTCTTATTGTTAAGCCCTAAATGATGTTTTTACAATTTTTTTGTACTTCTTGGTATGTGTCATGATGATGTTTATTATCAAAATAAGTTCATTATGATTTTGTAAGTATATCATTCGCAGCAAATTGAAGGGATATTGAGTTTCAATTTTTGTGTACATTTTTTATATATTATATGAGATCATTAATTATTAAAGAAAATAAATTGCTTTCTAGGTTTCATTTTAATGATAATTAGTATTATAGCTTTTTAATCTTAAAAGATATAGTTTGTTGTGTAAAGAAATACATTTTAATGCTTTTTTAATGCAGCATTTTAATTTTCTATGTAAGTTATGAAAGTATATGAAAGAAGCACCTTAAAATTTTGTAAAATTATTAATTGAAATTTAGGTTATCAGTTGCTTTAAAATATGAAACCAGAAGAAATAATTAATTCATTTCGGGAGTTTTTAAAAAAAGAAGGAATTTTTCTAATATATAGTTTGATTTTTTAAATTTTCTTCGTCAGCATATGACTTACTTTATAATTCCTTGAATTTATTTTTTGCTTCACTCAGTAACTTAGATTTAAATGTAAATAAATGATTCCTTGTATTGTCATTTGTATTTATATAAGTCAATCTTTTTCTGTCTAGTGATCAGTTTGATACACAAAAAAAGCAAAATCGTACTTCTCGTTTTCGTCAAGCAGATAGCACTGGTTTTGATCGTGAGCAGGAAGCAACGCCTCACTACACTGGTCTGTGATTATAACATTCCATTGCTGAGAAGCTATTTTTTTTCAAAAAAAAAAAAAAAGAATTATTACTCAGTGTACTTTGTAAAGTAATTTTGTTTTCAAAATTGTACTCTTTTTTTTTTTTTTTTTTTTTTTTTTTTTTTTTTTTTTTTAATATATATATATATATATATGTTATACATTTAATACATTTAAAGCAATTGTAAGTTTATATATTTCTTTACTTTGATAAGTTTCATTATAAGAAAAATTACATAAGGAATTGCATAACAAATATTAATTTTGACATAATGTATATTTTACAGGTAAGTATACATAAGAATTTTAACTAAATGCCATATATTGAAATATTTTGGAATTTAATCTAGCAGTAATTTCTGTCTGAAAATGGATTAAAAGAGAATTATTAAATTCTCATATATTTTGATCAATGTGTGTGTTTTTTTTAAGTATACATTTATGGATGGAAAGCATTTAAAGATTTCTGAAATCTTTTGCCATTGAAATGAGAATAACTAAATTGAACTAATTTTAAAACTATGTTCCATAGTTCTGTAAGTGGTATTTCTGTTGTGAATATCGCTTTATAATCTTCAAGATGAGTTAATATACAAAAATTTACATTAAGAAATCAAACTATAATGTATTAATTATGTTTGTATTCCTCCCTTTACTAAGGGATTTCTGTTGTAAATATCGCTTTATAATCTTCAAGATGAGTTAATACACAAAAATTTACATTAAGAAATCAAATTATAATATATTAATTATGTTTGTATTCCTCCCTTTACTAATATGGCATTGTACGATTAAACAATTTTTTATATAAATATGGAAGAGCTGAGTATAATTTTTAAACCAGTGATAAATATATATCTTTGAAAATTTATGAAATGTTAGATAATTAATGTTTAATAATGATATAAATGAATGTATTGTAAATGGAAAATTTGTAATGTATTTTGAATCCTCACTTACTAATTTAAAGCACTTGAATCATAACATGTGTATTCATAACTAAATATTATCATTAAGCATGTAAAATTTAGTTATATGTGCAGCACAGTTGTTTATTTATATATATTTAACAATCTAAAAAGAAATCTATGTCTCTTATTACTGTTAAATGCAGTTTTAATTCTTCTTTCCATATGTTATACAATCTCAGTTTCATATCATTTGAATATTTGTTATATTTTGAAATATAAAGTGAATAAGTATAAAAAGAACAGTATGGAAAACTGTTTTATACATTTTATATATAGATCGTGACTGTACATAATTGCCAGTATTTTTAGAAGAATTTTCTTTGAAATCATTAAACTATCGTGTACATAAAATCTTTAAATTTACTTATATTTACTAATATTTAATTAATAATTAAATCTTTAAATTTACTAATATTTAATCTTCATTAATTTCACTGATTTTGCATGTTGCATATAGCAGGTAACTTCTTGTCATCAATTATTTATTGTCCCATTTAACTTACCTGCAACTTTTGCCAATTGGATAGCTGCATATATTTTCATTTTCTAAGAATTCAAAAAGCTGGTTAGTAAAATAGTTTTTATTATTTTTATTTGGAAGGAGTTTTTCCTCTTTTTATTTCTAAAAGTGTATTTCATGATCTAAATTAATGAAGGAAACGTATCATGAGCCATTGAAATGTTTTATATAGCATTCTTCTCTTTTATATTTTTATTTTAACTTAATATGAAAATAGTATACATCTTGCTGATATTTTCTGATATATGTTATTCACCCCAATTATCATATCTTATTTGAAAAGAAAAAAAGTGTATTATACAGTATCTTTCATCATACACAGTATCTTTCATCGACATTATGTGCAATTTAAGCAAAGTAGAACTGTATTTCTGCCTCTGGAACAAATTTTAGTTGATATCCTTGATAGTATTAATATTTGGATTACAATCTATGCACATTTAAAATATTAATTGATGTTATGGATTATGGCTATAGGCAATAGGCAAAGTGTTTATCATTTTTTACTTTAATTTCTCAATAATCTTTATAAATCAATACATTTAGTTTGTTTATTAATAAAAGTATTTAATCCATCTTGTGTAAATTTAAAATGCACTTTTAAATTCTGCTGTGTTGCCATCTTTACAGAAGTTATTTAAAAAATTATCACTTGTTTTGAATATTAAAGTTTTAGATCATTTACTTACAAGATACTTGTATTTTAATCTGTTGTACATGTTTTAAGAAGATAAGTTGATTTATTATATTTAAAATATGATTCTCATTCATTGAGAACCTTTATCCTTATTGCAATTTTGCTTAAATCTTCAGTCAGTCTCTTGTCTCCCTTTTTAAACAATTGTAAAGCAAAGGAATTTAGATTGAAAATTTCAAAAAAAGGAAGAAAGAAAAAGTAAGCTTTTGTAACTTCAAACATTATAGCAAATTTCCTTTCCTATTATGCTGTGGTAATAACTTAAAAAAAAAAAATGTGATGCACTTTTCGAAATAATTAATTTAGTTAAAAATCATCAAATAGCTTAAATGATTTCTCTGATATGCATTTAAATTTAAGTGAAAATCATTGTATAATTAATTCCAGTTGTGTTGGTCTCATTAAATTGTTCCTTTTATATGATGCTGTTTTTATATGAAGAATAATAAATTTAAATTAATTCTAGACTTCCATTTGTAATTGTTCAAACTTCTTGTTATTGTCATTGGTGAATTGGGAAAAAAATTGACTTTTTAAGGTATATTATTTCATTATGATAATTTTTCTGTCAATTGAGTAATTTCCAGTAGGAGGAAGAGAAAAATATGTACTTCAGATGTTTATAAGAGAACTTCTGTTAATTATATGAACTATTAATTATTATGTATGAACTGTTAATTATATGAATAAATTCATGCATGAAATTCATGCATGAAAATATGTTTTTTTCTCATTGCTCTGTAATGCACCTAAATTATAACAATTTTTTTTTTTTTTTTTTAAGTATCTTAAGTTAAAAGTGTGTGCATATTTATGCAGTGTTATTTCTTTTTTTATTTTTAACTGTTTTTCCTTCAGTTTTTAACTATCAAAATCTTTTTTGATATTTTGAGATCAAAAATATTTTCCAGTCTGCTATTGTCTTTATTATTATCATTGGAGGATCAATAGAAGCCTTTTGCTTTTCAGAACTGTGCTCTGTGAGTTTTGAAAGCGAACTAGGAACTATGTTGTTTTAGTTTTATGAAATATTACTTCAGAAAGAGAGTTCCCTTCCACCTAATTATGTTACCATCTGAAATTTCATGTCTTCCGGGATTATTTCAAACAAAACTATCACTTTTAAGATCATTTTATAACTTTTATAAAAGCGCTTTCATTCGATAGGGAAATTATGTATGTGTTATAAAATGGTAGGGAATGAGGGGGAATAATGTTTTATTTGGTGCTTATTTTTTGTGCGTAATTAAGTGTTCATTAAATTTTACAAAAGTTTAGAAGATAATTTATTGAAATAATTTATTTCAATAGTTATTCATTGTGTAACTATAGAAATGGTTTTATTCTCGAAAACATCTATATCTATTTTTTAAAGAAATTTATAATGCCTCGATTGGCTAATTGAAATGTATATGTGTGTTTAATAACTCTTTTGGTGCTAGTTTAAGTGCATCTTTTGTAATAATTGTGAATTAATTTTGAATCTCATTTTGATATTCAGTTGGTGGAGTAAGATTAGAAAATAATAGTATGAAATATGTTTTACAAATAATTATTCTTTGATGTAAATTAATACTTATTTATTTACTTTGTAATCGTTTTTGTTTTATACATTAATATATTTATATTTGGTAATGATTTGAGCTAATATTTTTCAAAAGTTATTGCTTTAAACTAGATCTGTGCTATATTTCAAAAGTGAAAAGCACATTTTAGTGCAGCTTATTTAAAGTAAACTGGGGGGGGGAGGACTTTTTTTTTTTAATCTTAGAAATGTGCTGTTAACTAACATGCTTGATTCCGCTGACCTCAGTTTGTTCCATGTTGGAGATCATACTATGCTACATGCCCAAAATATTTGAAAAATTAGAAATATTATTAAGGCATAATTTGTGATCTCATCTTTTTACTTCCAAATCTGATAGAGCAAAATTTTTCCAACTTATTATAAAATCTTCTGTGCCAGATTAAGTAATTTAATTTAATGAGTACTTGTTATTTGAAAAATATTTTTAATAATTTTTATGTTTACTCTTTTTTTTTTTTTTTTTTTTTTTTTTTTTCATTTGATTTCTTTGCTCTTTAATTTATTTAAATGTGTTCTATAAATATACTTTTGGAAGGGACCACTTTAAAGTAATAAGTTAAATTCTGATGAATTGAAAAAACCAAACATCAACAGTGTTACCTGACTTAAATTAACATTTCAAGCTCAATTTTTTTTTATATATATATACCCTATAGAATGCTATTTATACAAATCATTGGCATATTGAAAGAATGAGAGTAATCATATACTAGATATATTATTGAAAAACTATCAGAATTTATATTATAGCTATTTGATGGATGCATGACAGTCTTGCGCAACAGCTTTCATTAAAATTACTGTTTTTTTTTTTTTTTTTTTTTTTTTTATCATTGGTGGTTCTAGTTTTTTTTTCTTCCCCATGGTATCTTGTTCAAAGTTAAAATGAAATATTGTGTAATCTTGTTTTTACTTTCAATTACCTGGCATGTGATATTATGTTTGAACAGCTTAGAAACTAAATGTTCTTTAGAAGACATGTTCATTTAACAATATATTAGGGCTTGTAAACTTCAGTAAGAACTGTTAACTACTTACTCATTTCAGGAAAATTTAGTCTCTTTAACATGTAAACAGATAAATACAGAAATACATTGATCATTAGGAGATTAGTGTTAAATGTATGTTTACAAATAACATGATTACACTTGTTTTAAGAGGAAATTAACAAGTTGTAAACTTTTAAATTTAAAAATGCTTAGTGTTCTTTTTAAAATTTTAATTTTTTATTGAATGAACATCATTAATGATTTCAACTAAATCATTTCTAACTAAATGAATTCCTTTCCATGTCATCACTTTATCTATCATATGCCAAGA